AACTTTCCTTTTCTCCTCATGACTAAATTCCCACAGCATTGTCATTTTTCCCACAGGGAATAACTCTTGGCCCGCTTGAAGGCTGTCTGCGTTCCTGGGACTACGCCCCTCTCTGCGGGAGGTCCCTAAAGGACCTGCCGGATCAGACTCGGGGAGTGACTATGTGTAGAGGAAACACACCCAGTCGTGGGCCCAGAAGGGCAGGTGAGGGGAAACCAGTCCATGAGGAGGAAGAGCAGGCCGGACGTACCGTCGCCGGTCTCCATGAGCTCGGCGTTGCCATACTTCGGGGCTGTCCGCGACGTCGTGGAGCCTTGCGGCCTTTCTACTTGTATGGAGTGTTCTGAGGTGTACGTGGTTACATCGGGAGGTGCAGAGTGATTTTCTGGAACGAAGCAAAACACAAGTTCTCTGATTATCACGGCAAAGTTATTTTGAAGGCTAAGGAAGGAACAGAGTTTCAACAGATGCCACATCCTAAGAAGAGACCACAACTAAGTCAAAGGAACAAACTCCAGACATGACATCGTAACAGGAGCCACATCGATGAGTCACCGTAGCATTTTAACTAAAATAACGTTTTCAAGCAGTCAGGGTTATGTGTCTGCTCCTAAGAGTAATTTTCTCTGTCATGAGAGCTCAAGCTTTGGAGGCAAGACCTGGGTGTGATGCTGGCTCTGCAGGCCTCTCGGGACCCTGGGAAGCATCCTGTCTGGCATGGGTGTCCTCACCCAGCAAATGCGATGGTGACGGCGACCTCCTGCCAGGGAGTGGCAATGACACATGTGACATTCTAAGGACACGCGCGCCTCGGTAGAGGATGAGCTCTCAAGAAACACCAGCTGTCTGTTTCCGCATGAACACGGCTCAGCACCTGTTCACGACCCTGTGCTCACCGCTGCCGGGTTAGGCACAGCGGGAGCAGCCGCAGGCCCGCGCCACACTCGCCGATGGTGGCGCCAAGCACCTAAATGCTTAAGCAGGGAGGGCGCGGCCCCCGCTAAAACGCATCTCGATTTTATTCAGATTCACTTGCGTTAAAGTGTTGCTGCAGCCTCCTCAGTGGTGACAGACAGCCAATCCGTCTCTGGGTTGGGCGGCAGGGATACTGCCGTGTTTCTGCTTTGAAGTTGGGAAAAATAATGACTCCGATACATCTGGTGATTAAAAAATAGGAACAGTGACAGCTGGGTGACTTCAACGTGCTTTCCACATCTACTTAGGTGTCACCGCCCCTCCCACTCCCTTTCCAACGCCCCGCACGCACGCGCTGCCCCAACAGGACCACCGACCCCGCAGCGTGTCTGCAGGGAGGCGGAGAATGTCCTGACGCCGCAGGGACGCGCTGCGCCGTTATTCTGACGACAGGACTCCGGTGTCTACCCAGATCACCTGTCTCGGGGAGGACTTAGAGGCACCTGGCGCAGAACCCATGCTCAGGAGACACTTGAGAGAGAAAGGGCGGAGTCGGTTGGGTGCGGGCTCCCAGGTCTGACACGTACCGCTCCAGGCCAGCGGCGTCTGCACGCGCCAGGAGCTCTGTGAAGGCCACGCGCCCTGCGCAGAGCAGGACTCTGCCTCCCGAGCACGGTGGCCCGCCACTCCCCAGGTGGACTTCCCAGTGCTTTTCGCATCACGAGACATCCCTGCAGCCACTGGTCAGGTGCCACCTCGCTGCGAGCACGGCCCCAGCGCCATCCGCGACACCCTCCTGTGTGTCCCCCATGGGATGGTTCTGCCTCATCTCCCCGGCTTGGCTTTTGCCCCCAGCAGCCGACGTGGGTTCCCTGAGAGTCTGGAATTCACAGTGGGCACATGGGAAGGTGGGAGGGAGCTGCAGGCCAACCCACTTTCAGGCAGGAAGTGCATCAAAAAGTGTTCATTCTAACTGCATGAAGCAGGACCTGAGGGCCAGTGGTGGCAGGTCCACTTTTCAAGCGGTGGTCACTATTTTCATTCCCAAGTAACTTCTAAACGAAGAGAAGAACGGGAAACTTGGTTTTCGTACAAAGAAAGCGATGAGCTCACAGTCCACTAACTGGCGTGCAGGGCAAGCCACGCGTCCAAAGAAGCTCAGCCTTCCGTGCGCCAAGGACATGCCTCTCTGCTCGGCCGCATCCTGAGAGGCAGCGTGGCGTCCAGGAGGCATGCAGGATCTCAGATCTGAGGCTGCAGGTGCCCCCGAGACGTCAGTGCGACCGGCAGACAGACGGCCGGGGTGTGTCCTAGTGCAGGCCAGGAGTCCCTACCTGTGGACAACAGCTCCCTGGTCCCCGTCCACAAGCTCGCGTTGGTGGTGGAAAGCTCCGACAGTCACACGGCCACACGGGCTGCGACGGGGACCTGTCCTTCCTGTGTGCGCAGTGCC